TCTGCTGCTACTCTGTAGTCTCTTAATGTACTTACATAAAGGCTGAGGAGCACGTCCATTTAAATACAAGTTTTACATAATGAAAATCAGTAAAGTTAGCAAAACTTGAATCTTGTATTTGCTTAAACTGCGACAATGAATTTCACAGTCAGCCCCTACCTGACCTGTGACCTCTGACCTTCAGCTCTGCTCATCACACTGACCTGGAAGATGAGGACTTTAAAGTTGTTTCTGTTGATCAGGTGGGCGTGGTTCGCCTCCAGCTTCTTCACCTGGACGCCCTGACGCTCCATCTTATCACGAACCTGCAGAGACAAGCAGAGGTTTTTAGCAGAGCTGAACTCTGACAGGTGGCAGGTGAGGTCACACAGGTAACACCAGTCCTGACCTCCTTCATGGTGACGGACAGTTTGCGGCTCTTGTCCAGCAGCTTGCTGACGGTGTTGGAGGTGTGGCTGTGGCTCTTGGACAGCTTGGTCATATCAGCCTGGATCCCTCTGACCACGCCCTCCATCTCTACCTGATGCACCTGAAACACAAACAGCCAAAAACCAATCAGATACCAGCCTGCACCCTCTGACCACGCCCTCCGAGTTCAATCTCAAAACGTTTAGCACTGGTTTACGTTTTTCGTAGAGGCTTGCTAGCTTAGCTTGTTGCTAAAGGAACCACCACTGATGGTCTGAATGTGGTTCAGACAGTGACTGACACCTGTTAGTTTGACATCCAGGTGTTTGTCTCATTGTGGTGTGAATAGTTCACTGTGACTGCAGCTACAGACAGAGTATCTGGTCTCTTAAGTTCACTCTGCAGCATCACAGCAGATGAAACAGTCTGCTGAAGTCCTGTGGGCCCAGATTCTGGTTTTAGTCTGAGTTTATCAGTCAGTGTTTGTTTTTTGGGACGGATCCTCACATGTCCGAACCTGGAAATGTCTTTCAATTCAGTCATTGTTGATTTCTTCCACTTTAATCCGTTGTTAAAGGTAGTTCATGTTGACTGACAGTTTCTGTGAGAATGGAGCCAGTCTGACAGAAAACCTGTTCTAACATGTTAAAGATCTTTCAGATACCATCTGAACTGTGAACTACAAACACAGCAGCAGCAGCAGTAACAGGAAGTAGCTCGAATTTATCTTTTGATAAAGATGCAGACAAAGATTATGAACTGACTGTTCACTGATGAACAGTCAGTTTTTGGTGTTAGTACTGGTATCTGAACTGGAGTTAGTAACTGGTGTCAGTACTGGTGTCTGAACTGGAGTTAGTAACTGGTGTCAGTACTAGTGTCTGAACTGGAATTAGTACAGTGTAAGTACGTTGTACTGGTGTCTGAACTAGAGTTAGTACTGGTGTCAGTACTGGTGTCTGAACCACAGTTAGTACTGGTGTCTGAACCACAGTTAGTACTGGTGTCTGAACTGGAGTTAGTACAGTGTAAGTATGTTGTACTGGTGTCTGAACCACAGTTAGTACTGGTGTCTGAACTGGAGTTAGTACTGGTGTCTGAACTGGAGTTAGTACTGGTGTCTGAACTGGAGTTAGTACAGTGTAAGTATGTTGTACTGGTGTCTGAACCACAGTTAGTACTGGTGTCTGAACCACAGTTAGTACTGGTGTCTGAACCGGAGTTAGTACTGGTGTCTGAACTGGAGTTAGTACTGGTGTCTGAACTGGAGTTAGTACAGTGTAAGTATGTTGTACTGGTGTCTGAACCACAGTTAGTACTGGTGTCAGTACTGGTGTCTGAACCATAGTTAGTACTTGTGTCTGAACTGGAGTTAGTACAGTGTAAGTACGTTGTACTGGTGTCTGAACCACAGTTAGTACTGGTGTCTGAACCACAGTTAGTACTGGTGTCTGAACCACAGTTAGTACTAGTGTCTGAACTGGAGTTAGTACAGTGTAAGTACGTTGTACTGGTGTCTGAACCACAGCTAGTACTGGTGTCTGAACCGGAGTTAGTACTGGTGTCTGAACCACAGTTAGTACTGGTGTCTGAACTGGAGTTAGTACAGTGTAAGTACGTTGTACTGGTGTCTGAACCACAGCTAGTACTGGTGTCTGAACTGGAATTAGTACAGTGTAAGTACGTTGTACTGGTGTCTGAACTAGAGTTAGTACTGGTGTCAGTACTGGTGTCTGAACCACAGCTAGTACTGGTGTCTGAACTAGAGTTAGTACTGGTGTCAGTACTGGTGTCTGAACCACAGCTAGTACTGGTGTCTGAACCGGAGTTAGTACTGGTGTCTGAACCACAGTTAGTACTGGTGTCTGAACTGGAGTTAGTACAGTGTAAGTACGTTGTACTGGTGTCTGAACCACAGCTAGTACTGGTGTCTGAACTGGAATTAGTACAGTGTAAGTACGTTGTACTGGTGTCTGAACTAGAGTTAGTACTGGTGTCAGTACTGGTGTCTGAACCACAGTTAGTACTGGTGTCTGAACCACAGTTAGTACTGGTGTCTGAACTGGAGTTAGTACAGTGTAAGTACGTTGTACTGGTGTCTGAACCACAGCTAGTACTGGTGTCTGAACCACAGTTAGTACTGGTGTCTGAACCACAGTTAGTACTGGTGTCTGAACTGGAGTTAGTACTGGTGTCAGTACTGGTGTCTGAACCACAGTTAGTACTTGTGTCTGAACTGGAGTTAGTACAGTGTAAGTATGTTGTACTGGTGTCTGAACCACAGTTAGTACTGGTGTCTGAACCGGAGTTAGTACTGGTGTCTGAACTGGAGTTAGTACTGGTGTCAGTACTGGTGTCTGAACCACAGTTAGTACTGGTGTCTGAACTGGTGTTAGTACAGTGTAAGTACGTTGTACTGGTGTCTGAACCACAGCTAGTACTGGTGTCTGAACCACAGTTAGTACTGGTGTCTGAACCACAGTTAGTACTGGTGTCTGAACTGGAGTTAGTACTGGTGTCAGTACTGGTGTCTGAACCACAGTTAGTACTTGTGTCTGAACTGGAGTTAGTACAGTGTAAGTATGTTGTACTGGTGTCTGAACCACAGTTAGTACTGGTGTCTGAACCGGAGTTAGTACTGGTGTCTGAACTGGAGTTAGTACTGGTGTCAGTACTGGTGTCTGAACCATAGTTAGTACTTGTGTCTGAACTGGAGTTAGTACAGTGTAAGTACGTTGTACTGGTGTCTGAACCACAGTTAGTACTGGTGTCTGAACCACAGTTAGTACTGGTGTCTGAACTGGAGTTAGTACAGTGTAAGTACGTTGTACTGGTGTCTGAACCACAGTTAGTACTGGTGTCTGAACCACAGTTAGTACTGGTGTCTGAACTGGAGTTAGTACAGTGTAAGTACGTTGTACTGGTGTCTGAACCACAGTTAGTACTGGTGTCTGAACCACAGTTAGTACTGGTGTCTGAACCACAGTTAGTACTGGTGTCAGTACTGGTGTCTGAACCATAGTTAGTACTTGTGTCTGAACTGGAGTTAGTACAGTGTAAGTACGTTGTACTGGTGTCTGAACCACAGTTAGTACTGGTGTCTGAACTGGAGTTAGTACTGGTGTCAGTACTGGTGTCTGAACCACAGTTAGTACTTGTGTCTGAACTGGAGTTAGTACAGTGTAAGTACGTTGTACTGGTGTCTGAACCACAGTTAGTACTGGTGTCTGAACCACAGTTAGTACTGGTGTCTGAACCACAGTTAGTACAGTGTAAGTACGTTGTACTGGTGTCTGAACCACAGCTAGTACTGGTGTCTGAACCACAGTTAGTACTGGTGTCTGAACCACAGTTAGTACTGATGTCTGAACTGGAGTTAGTACAATGTAAGTATGTTGTACTGGTGTCTGAACCAGAGTTAGTACTGGTGTCAGAACTGGAGTTAGTAACTGGTGTCTGAACTGGAGTTAGTAACTGGTGTTAGTACTGGTGTCTGAACTGGAGTTAGTAACTGGTGTTAGTACTGGTGTCTGAACTGGAGTTGGTAACTGGTGTTAGTACTGGTGTCTGAACTGGAGTTGGTACTGGTGTCTGAACTGGAGTTGGTACTGGTGTCTGAACCAGAGTTGGTACTGGTGTCTGAACCACAGTTAGTAACTGGTGTTGGTACTGGTGTCTGAACTGGAGTTGGTACTGCTGTCTGAACTGGTGTCTGAACCGGAGTTAGTAACTGGTGTTGGTACTGGTGTCTGAACTGGAGTTAGTAACTGGTGTTAGTACTGGTGTCTGAATTAGAGTTAGTAACTGGTGTTGGTACTGGTGTCTGAACTGGAGTTAGTAACTGGTGTTAGTACTGGTGTCTGAACTGGAGTTGGTAACTGGTGTTAGTACTGGTGTCTGAACTGGAGTTAGTAACTGGTGTTAGTACTGGTGTCTGAACTGGAGTTGGTAACTGGTGTTGGTACTGGTGTCTGAACTGGAGTTAGTAACTGGTGTTAGTACTGGTGTCTGAACTGGAGTTGGTAACTGGTGTTGGTACTGGTGTCTGAACTGGAGTTAGTAACTGGTGTTAGTACTGGTGTCTGAATTAGAGTTAGTAACTGGTGTTGGTACTGGTGTCTGAACTGGAGTTAGTAACTGGTGTTAGTACTGGTGTCTGAACTGGAGTTGGTAACTGGTGTTAGTACTGGTGTCTGAACTGGAGTTAGTAACTGGTGTTAGTACTGGTGTCTGAACTGGAGTTGGTAACTGGTGTTAGTACTGGTGTCTGAATTAGAGTTAGTAACTGGTGTTAGTACTGGTGTCTGAACCACAGTTAGTAACTGGTGTCTGAACTAGAGTTAGTAACTGGTGTTAGTACTGGTGTCTGAACTGGAGTTGGTACTGGTGTCTGTACTGGTGTCTGAACTGGAGTTGGTAACTGGTGTTGGTACTGGTGTCTGAACTGGAGTTGGTACTGGTGTCTGAACTGGAGTTAGTAACTGGTGTTAGTACTGGTGTCTGAACTGGAGTTAGTAACTGGTGTTAGTACTGGTGTCTGAACTGGAGTTGGTAACTGAACTGGAGTTAGTAACTGGTGTTAGTACTGGTGTCTGAATTGGAGTTAGTAACTGGTGTTAGTACTGGTGTCTGAACTGGAGTTGGTACTGGTGTCTGAACTGGTGTCTGAACCGGAGTTAGTAACTGGTGTTGGTACTGGTGTCTGAACTGGAGTTAGTAATTGATGTTAGTACTGGTGTCTGAACTGGAGTTAGTAACTGGTGTTAGTACTGGTGTCTGAACTGGAGTTAGTAACTGGTGTTAGTACTGGTGTCTGAACTGGAGTTGGTAACTGGTGTTAGTACTGGTGTCTGAACTGGAGTTAGTAACTGGTGTTAGTACTGGTGTCTGAACTGGAGTTGGTAACTGGTGTTAGTACTGGTGTCTGAACTGGAGTTAGTAACTGGTGTTAGTACTGGTGTCTGAACTGGAGTTGGTAACTGGTGTTAGTACTGGTGTCTGAACTGGAGTTAGTACAGTGTTAGAATTTTGTACTGGTGTCTGAACTGGAGTTAGTACTGTAGTCCGTCCTGGACTCTCACACTCAGACCTTATGTCGAGGTGTGGTCCCACCCCTGGCTCACCTCCATCTTGTTCTGGTTTTCCTGCACGGCGTCCAGCATGTTGACAAGTTTATCCAGCAGAGTGAGGACCGTGATGGCGTTGACGGACCCTGACTCATTGCCTCAGAGTCAAATCCTGCCAGGGGGGACGAGGGGGAGGCCTGGTTCTCCTCCTGCTGGTCCAGCGGGTCCTGCTGGTCCTGCAGGTCCTGGTTCAGGGAAGGGACCAGTAGGTCCTGGCTCTGGTGGGTCTCGGTGGTCACCATGATGACTCTGTCCTCACACATCAACTCAATGTCGAACCAAAAACCCCCGAAACTCTTTCTGCTGCAGAAAAACACTGGGACTCTGCCTCGCCCGTCCACTCTCTCTCTCTCTGCGAGTGTGTGTGTGTACTGCGCTCTGATTGGTTGGCTCAGAGGAAAACTTTCCATCCAACTTCCCGACTGTGGAAACGTCCACACCTTTAACTCCTTCACTGCCACGGCTGAAGCCTCTGCAGCTGGCTGAGGAGGGACGGTGGCCCTGACCTGCTTCACCGCCGCAGAGTTTAGTTAACTTCCATTTATTGGTTGTTGTTGTTGTTGTTGTTGTTGTTTGTTTCCCGTCTGAGATGCAGAAACGTCAAAATAAAAGACTCATTAAAGGGTTAACTCTCTCTCTCTCTGCAGCTTTCAGCCTGAAGCTCAGTGTCTCTCTACCACACCCAGAGGGAGGGGTCTGTTACCATGACTACTGTGTGTGTGCAGAGAGAGAGTGTTAGTGTAGCTCGCTCTCTCATGTTTTTAAGGTGAAGTCATCTGGAAGGAAAGCTCTCTCGCCCTTTCTCTCCCCTGTTTGTGTGAATGTCTCTCTCCCTCTCTCTCCCCTGTTTGTGTGAATGTCTCTTGCCCTCTCTCTCCCCTGTTTGTGTGAATGTCTCTCGCCCTCTCTCTCCCCTGTTTGTGTGAATGTCTCTCTCCCTCTCTCTCCCCTGTTTGTGTGAATGTCTCTTGCCCTCTCTCTCCCCTGTTTGTGTGAATGTTTTGCCCTCTCTCTCCCCTGTTTGTGTGAATGTCTCGCCCTCTCTCTCCCCTGTTTGTGTGAATGTCTCTCACCCTCTCTCTCTCTCTCCCCTGCTTGTGTGAATGTCTCTCGCCCTCTGTGTGCTGTACAGGCTCCACTGACTGAATGCTGACCTTAAACCAACAGAAACAAAGTATAAAACATGTCACTGACTGCTGGTTCTTTGTTTGCTGGTCTGAAAGTCTGAGTCTGTGCTTTGAGGGAAACCGGACCAGGATTTGGTCAATCCAGAACTTCTGAGGCTGAATTGGTTTGAAATGTAAGAACACGTGAACACAGGTGTTCTCCTCGGCTGGTCATTACGTTGGTGGACCCTCCTCACGTGAGGGCCCTGTATACTCCGGCCCCCACACCGAGTCCTACACCTGTGGTAAGAAGCACGTGGAACACTGAAGCCACATTAGTGGAACCTTAGCGAAATTTGGGGGAACCAGGGGATCGTGTAAAAGATTTGAGAATGTATTTGTGGGACTTCAGTGAAAACAGGCTAGCTAGGAGAAACTCTGGGGTCACCCTAGGGGAACCTTAGTAGAACTCTGCAGAAATCCATAGGGGAAAGATGAGATAACAGAACACTAGGGGGAAATCAGAGGAGCTGCAGTAGGTAGAGGAACTTTAGAGGAACCTTGTAGTATAGGGGATGCTAGGGGAACCTTAGTGGAACTTAATAGAAACTTTATGGGAACCTGTAGACAGCTCAACCTTTCAGCCATTTGCCATTAGTGAAACCTTAGAGGAACCTTACAAGAACTATAAAGGAACCTTGGGGATGTGAATAGAACCTCAGAGGATCTTTACAAGACTCATTGGGAGGGGCATAGGAAAATGCAGGACCTAAGCAGAACCTCAGGGGAATCTTGGAGGAACTTTTGGGGGATGTTAGAGAAACCTCAGAAGGACTGTAAAGAATCATTAGTGGAACCTGAAGGGAACCAGAGGGGAACGCTACCTTAGTGGAACATTAGGGAAGTGTTGGTTTAGGGTTGTGTCTCTGTTTACTAACTTTATTTATTAACTGTATTTAGAACCGTTCTTCAACAGAGTGTGTGCAGCAGCGTTGGAACACAGAGAACTGTTCTGCAGTAGGTCAGAGTGGAACAAGGTGGAAACAGGAAGAGACGCTCACATCATGGAATTCATACAAACACAATACAGTCATTACTCTGGAGTGCAGCGAGGGGGTTTCCTGATGTTCCTGAATAACACCTCGGTTCATTAAAGGAACCCTCCCGCTGCACTGCAGAGTAATGACTGCATTGTGTTTGAATGAATTCCATGATGTGAGCGTCTCTTCCTGCCTTTCCTGCGTCTATAGTACTTACTGTATGTTACTACGTCTACTGTATGTTACTGCATCTATAGTACTTACTGTGTTACTACGTCTACTGTATGTTTCTGCGTCTATAGTACTTACTCTATTTTACTGCATCTACTGTATTTTACCGCGTCTATAGTACTTACTGTATGTTACTACGTCTACTGTATGTTACTGCGTCTATAGTACTTACTGTATGTTACTACGTCTACTGTATGTTACTGCGTCTATAGTACTTACTGTATGTTACTACGTCTACTGTATTTACTGCGTCTATAGTACTTACTGTATGTTACTACGTCTACTGTATGTTACTGCGTCTATAGTACTTACTGTATGTTATTACGTCTACTGTATGTTACTGCGTCTATAGTACTTACTGTATGTTACTACGTCTACTGTATGTTACTGCATCTATAGTACTTACTGTGTTACTACGTCTACTGTATGTTACTGCGTCTATAGTACTTACTCTATTTTACTGCATCTACTGTATTTTACCGCGTCTATAGTACTTACTGTATGTTACTACGTCTACTGTATGTTACCGCGTCTATAGTACTTACTGTATGTTACTACGTCTACTGTATGTTACTGCGTCTATAGTACTTACTGTATGTTACTACGTCTACTGTATGTTACTGCATCTATAGTACTTACTGTGTTACTACGTCTACTGTATGTTTCTGCGTCTATAGTACTTACTCTATTTTACTGCATCTACTGTATTTTACCGCGTCTATAGTACTTACTGTATGTTACTACGTCTACTGTATGTTACTGCGTCTATAGTACTTACTGTATGTTACTACGTCTACTGTATGTTACTGCATCTATAGTACTTACTGTATGTTACTACGTCTACTGTATTTACTGCGTCTATAGTACTTACTGTATGTTACTACGTCTACTGTATGTTACTGCGTCTATAGTACTTACTGTATGTTATTACGTCTACTGTATGTTACTGCGTCTATAGTACTTACTGTATGTTACTACGTCTACTGTATGTTACTGCATCTATAGTACTTACTGTGTTACTACGTCTACTGTATGTTACTGCGTCTATAGTACTTACTGTATGTTACTACGTCTACTGTATGTTACTGCATCTATAGTACTTACTGTGTTACTACGTCTACTGTATGTTACTGCGTCTATAGTACTTACTGTATGTTACTACGTCTACTGTATGTTACTGCATCTATAGTACTTACTGTGTTACTACGTCTACTGTATGTTTCTGCGTCTATAGTACTTACTCTATTTTACTGCATCTACTGTATTTTACCGCGTCTATAGTACTTACTGTATGTTACTACGTCTACTGTATGTTACTGCGTCTATAGTACTTACTGTATGTTACTACGTCTACTGTATTTACTGCGTCTATAGTACTTACTGTATGTTACTACGTCTACTGTATGTTACTGCGTCTATAGTACTTACTGTGTTACTACGTCTACTGTATGTTACTGCGTCTATAGTACTTACTGTATGTTACTACGTCTACTGTATGTTACTGCATCTATAGTACTTACTCTATTTTACTGCATCTACTGTATTTTACCGCGTCTATAGTACTTACTGTATGTTACTACGTCTACTGTATGTTACTGCGTCTATAGTACTTACTGTATGTTACTACGTCTACTGTACGTTACTGCGTCTATAGTACTTACTGTATGTTACTACGTCTACTGTATGTTACTGCATCTATAGTACTTACTGTATGTTACTACGTCTACTGTACGTTACTGCGTCTATAGTACTTACTGTATGTTACTACGTCTACTGTATGTTACTGCGTCTATAGTACTTACTGTATGTTACTACGTCTACTGTACGTTACTGCGTCTATAGTACTTACTGTGTTACTACGTCTACTGTATGTTACTGCATCTATAGTACTTTCTCTATTTTACTGCATCTACTGTATTTACCACGTCTATAGTACTTAGTCTATTTTACTGCGTCTACTCTATTTTACTGCGTCTATAGTACTTACTCTATTTTACTGCTTCTACTGTATTTTACCGCATCTATAGTACTAGTACATGTTAACATGTACAGCCTGTCTCTGTCCTCTCTGTTTAATGGGGTGGTGGCGCATAGATAAGATGTTTGCCTTTGGTGTGGGAGACCTGGGTGCGATTCCCCCTGTGAGACATCCACCATTCTGTCCCTGAGCAAGACACTTAACCCACACTTAACCGCTTTGGATAAAAAGCGTCAGCTAAATGAATAAATGTAATCTGGGTGATGTTTGTTGTTGTCACAGACTCCAGTTAGACGGTAAGTGCCGTGTTCCACATCTACCAGAAGAGTACCGGATGGAGTACAGGGCCCTCCAGGAGAGGCGTTCAGGGCCTCTCACTGCCCATGCTGAGAGTTTCACTGGAGAAAGGAGGAGGTGTGGAAGACTCGTCCTTTCTTAAAAAGAAGAGAAAAAGAAATAAAATCTTCTTTTCCATCCAGGAGAAGAAGAAGGAGCACCTGTCGGAGGCGACCGCCGCGCTGTGCTGGTTATTGCACTGTAGAAGAAGAAGCAGCTGTTTATGAATATCAGAGTGGATTCAGACAAGGACGATCAACAATGGATGCCGTTGTAGGGTTAGATAGTGGCATTAAAAAAGCCATTGTAAATAAAGAGGCAGCCGGAGCTGTGTTTCTGGACATTGAAGAAGCCTGGGACGGGCTTTGGAAGGAGGGGCTGCTAATTGCACTTCATGACGCTGGAATCGGAGGAAGAACGTTTAACTGGATCAAAAATTTTTAACTCAGGCGATGGTGGGAAGCAAGTTCCCAGAGGAGCTGGAGAACGGAGCCCCTCAGGGTAGTGTAATAAGCCCACTGCTCTTTAATATACCAGTCAATGGTGTGTTTAGTAGAGTGGGGAAGGAATTCAGGTTCCCATTATTTGCAGATGATGGGGCCATCTGGAAGCAAGGGAGGAACCTCTCCTATATTTACGGCCAAACGCAAGCTACATTGGACAAAGTAAGTAAACGGGCTTTAAAATATCTAACACATGATATTTGG